CACCCCCCCAAAAAAAAAAAGTCATCACTGCTGCTCCTCAGGAATATTGTTGGACACTGATAAATACTGCTTGTTTTTTCCTTGTCCTTACATTATTCTGCCCTACCCCCAAGGCACTTAAAGTTGGGGCTCTACAAAGCCCCAACAAAGCTTTAGGTGCTGGCGTGGTCAGGGCAGCAGTGGGAGAAGTGTCCGACCGCAGCGTTTCTTTCCATGGCCACAGGAGGAATCCGCTTCCAGCACTTACTTGAACGATTTTGCAATATTCTGACCACCTCATTTCTCAGGCTTAAGGACAGACACTGCCAGGAAACATGATTTTTTTATTTTATTTTTTTTTAAATATGGAAGTGGGATGCTGGGAAAGGCTTTGTGTATTTCCAGCCCGTGTCCAAACCCGCTCCCACTCCAATGGCTGCCTCTGCAGGCCGGTACCACACTGCTCCCACCGCAGCGTTGGAGCCACCAAAATGCTGTAACAACGCTCTCTGCTATTGAGCAAAAGACACACAAGAGACCTGGCTGCAAAACGAAGCCTTTTTCTAACAAGAAAAGCAATCAGTCCCTCATTAATCTTGCCCTCAAAACAATTGGTTGCAGGTACGTAAGCAGCCCAGCGCAGGGAGCCCAGACAAATCGCAGCGCTTCTTCTGCTTTTCATAAACAACTTAATTATCAAAGCCCAATCCAAAAGACCGCTAACTTCTACACTGCAGTCGAGCTGACATCAGGCCAGTAAATAAGAAGCTGAGTTTTGTTATGGGGTACATTTAGAACGATGATACTCTCCATGCAGAGGACCGTCCTGTATTGTCTGTTTTCAGGGTCTTGAGCCCTTCTCAGAAAGTCAGAACTAAATACCCCTCATGAAGAGAACCAGCTCTCTGGCTCCTCAAGCTGCCGAGGCCACGCTCTCACGGCTGCTACTGCCACAGCTGCCTGCGTCTGCAGAACCAGAACCATGGCAGGTCTATAACGAACAGTAATTGTGTTCAACCTTATTCCCCTGCCACTTCCCCCCAGCTTTTGACCTCAATTTCCCTTCACAGTGAAAATGTTTCCCCAAGGTCAGCTTTTTTACTATGTGCTTTGCAGACAATACTCAAATATTAGCCAAGTTAACTTGTGTAAATTTTAATTCTATCAGTGTTTTCTGCTGAAAACCCTCAGCAATTTATTTATTATAATATTCAGGAGACTTTGAGGTGGGCTTATGCTAAATGACTCCGAATAAAACAGCAACTGCTCCTCCACATCAGGAGAAAGGTTCATCACAGAGCAGCCGAGCTGCTATTAAGAACAAGACAGTGACCCCCCTGCTTGCAGTCCTCCCAGCTCAGGTTGCCTCCAACCAAGCAGGGTCTGTGCAGGTTAGATTTTGCCAGGGAATTTCCAAGGAATTACAAGTGTCATTGAACCAGAGAAATCTGGGGTTAGCAGAAATAAGCCAGGCTGGGATGACTGTCCCGTTCCTAGGAGGAAGCGATGTTGACATTTCTATTCCAATACTGAGTCAGATGTTTCCCAGCACATGGGAGAGGTGCTCACAGCTCTGGTATGCTCTTTTTATTGGAAACCAACTACATAACTGAATTTGTCTGCTTTTAAATCCCTCTTTCTGAAGACTATCCTGTCCCAGGCCATGGGGTCAACGCTGACCTCCTCTCAGCCATGTCCAAACTGCTTAAAACCATTTTCCCAACTGTGCTCTAAGCCACTGATGGCCAAGTTAATGCTCAAGTATTGCAAAATGTCCCTTGTAAATGCCATTTGGCAACTTCTGATGGTCCAAGAAGTTTACACCAAACATGTGGGTACCTGCAACTCCCTCCCTGAGGCGGTGGCCCCAGCGTCACACCCTTGGCTGAGGCAGAGGTCTCACCCTGGGCCCCCCCGCACCGCTGCCGGGGTCCTTTTCTCCTGGGCAAATCAAACTTCTCCCCATGGTGACCCAGGGTACCAGAGGCTGCCACAATGTCACCCTGAGGAGGAAAGAAAAGGGAAGAGATTCTGGAGTAGCTGCACAGCGCAGACAGTCCCAGGGCTGCTCCTGGGAAGGGGGGAGCCATGGAAGCGAGGCGGCTGGTGCTCAGGCTGCCTTTCCAGGGAGGATTCCTCCACACAGCTCTTGTGTCCTTCCCCCAAGGGTGGGGATATGAGGTCGACAAGGAATTGAACACAACCAGAATTGCTCCTACCTGCTGTCAGGTGGCCTAAACCCCATTTCCCACCTCACTTAGTCCTCTATACAACTGCTGTATTTGAACTCCCAAACTAACTGGATTTTGGGGAATGCTGAAGCACAGTGTCATCACTCACTCTCTCTGCAAAGCAATTTGAAATGAAATGTGCTAAAACTCAAGCAGTCTAAAGCACCCAGCGCCAAGCACAGCCAGCAAGCCTCATGTTTATGGCTTTGTCCTGGGGAAGCTGAAGGTGGCCTTTGGGACCACGAAGGCTGAGCGCAGAACACCCACACCAGGTCACAACTAATTATCCACCTTTATTTAAAAACAACTTCATGTGGAGTACAACGTTTGCCACGAAGCGTGGCCCTAGGACTTTGGTGCACTTTAAAAACGTTAAGCTGTAGTTGTATTGACATACAAAATCTGCTACAGGTGTAACCCACATTATAATTTATATAAACAGTAATATATAAACGATAATGTTGAACATCACTTTCCCATCATTTCCTATCGCCCTCAGCACAGCCACCATGCGCACGAGTGCAAGGACATTACGTAGACAACCTCCACCCAGCCACTGGGTTTCCTCACCCAGACATGTATTGGCATAAAAAGCAAGAGAGCAGCACAGGTACCTTTAAGCAGGATCCCCTTCTTGTTTAGAAATACTCTATTTCCAACAGAACAGCACAGTGAGGAAACAGTTAAAAGCTTCACTTATTCTTTAGTATCATAATTTAACCACAGGTAGGTACGTTTTAAAGTTAAGACAAGAGTAGCTCCAGGAAATTATTCTTTGTCACCCTGGGGTAAGTCCAGAAGAACCTATCTGGATAGGAGCAGGATGGAGTCTCTCTACCAAAAGGTAGGTTAATTTCTTCTGGTCTTGGGATGTGTAGAGTGCAGAGAAATTCCCACTGTACTCTGGGACTGGTCCACAAAATATGTGCAAGTTTTAAAGAGTCTCAATTTCCACGTTGTCTGAAAGCTACTGAGGTTCACCCTCCCCTTGCGAACAGGAACGGCTTCCCCTCCCCAGCACACGGCATGCCAAAAGCCTAAGAGGAGACTGACTGCACATTTTACTGCTAAAGAGAAAAAAAAAAAAAAAAAGCCAAGGATTGGCCATTGGGAAGTGTTTTAGTTCCAGAGCCTTGCCTTATCTCCACATCAACCTGCAAGCTAGGCTGTTAGAATTGAATTATGTTAGTCACATTCTTCCTATTCACAACAAGCCAAGAAAAGGGAAAACCAAAACAAAAAAGGCTCTTCTGATCGTTATGTCATAACTTCCTGGAGATCAGACTGAAAATGGCAAAATACAGCTTTTATCTGCACTTGAAAGGATCTGAAAGTTCTGTCATCACCTTTCATTCTCGTCTTAGAGACACATTAATTGGATTCCAGCAGATACAGCAGAGGAGAAAAAACAAGACGCCAGACACAGCCCTCACCCCAGCTCTGCCGGCGGGAGCAGGCCGCTGGGGGAAAGCCCTCCTGTACCAAAACCAGAGGAAAAGAGCTCCCTGCTCCAGATCCCCCAAGAAAGGGACAAGGCCACACACACAAAGGATATGCGGGAGTGAAATGCCAGACCCTGCTCTTTAAGCCAAAATGAAAGTCTATTTTTTAAAAAACCACAGAAGCGAAGCAGGCAATCAAATGTGCAGAAAGCTTAAAGCACTGACCGGAGGTCCGAAATAGAATAAAAAAAAGAGTGGAAAGGTTGTACCCGTGTGAAACCATCTGAGAATGAACGCCAGATAAGAAGAATCACCACGCATTAATGACCACCTCTTCCTCGAGGGAGGCAGGTTATTTTTACTCAGACAGAAAAGGTTCTGCTCACAACCCAACATGCCCCACTCGGCTGCACCAGATGCCTTCTGCCCCCAGAAGAAAATGACTTCAGCTTCTATCGGTAAGAAAAACAAGATTTTAGGTATCAGTTTCCGAACAGGCTGTTTAGTCTGTAACCCAAAGCTGTGTTTTTACAGCACTCTTTCATGACAACAGAGACTGCTTGTCTGGAGAGGTGCTGCCAACCAATACGGCACCTTGGCAATTAACAAATTAACAAAATGCTTTCCTCATGCAGCCCCCTCTTACAGACTTAACGAACGTAAATGGGATGAAGCACTCGAATCAAGCCCAGCACAGGATCCCAAGCAGCAGATGAACGGAACAGCGAATCCACAGGTTTTTGTCACACTTAGAGCCCCTTGTTGTTTTGAAACAGACAAACCCCCCCAAAAATCAAAGGAGAATTTAAATCTGTGGAAACACAGAGTGAAAGTTGTCTCTGGAAAATACATAATCCAAAGACAGTTTATGTTAAACAGTTTATGTTTTGACAAGTTAAACAACAGGTGAAGGCTTGAAGGCATCTGCAAATAAGTAAAGCTACAGACTCTCAGTAGCATAAATATTACCTTTTTGCACTCTCCCAATTACCTACACTGCGATCATTTACTTGTGGAAGGCAGCAACCTTCAAACAACACACAGAACAGCAAACGCTACTGGTTAATATCACTCTGGGACTTGCTGGCAGGGAAAGACAACACAAGGACAGCTAACTACACGACTTGTTTTGAGAGCTATTATCATTTCTCTCCAGAAAAATACCCTGCAAGAGAAGGATCACATTGATGATCAATATCTTTTGGATATTCCTATTGTGGATTTCCCAGCTTGGCTTAAGCAATCAAAAAAAAAAAAGACAGACTTGTGCAAATATTTAAAGATCAGATGTTTAGAAGAAAAAAACCAACCTGGTCATCGACTGGAAATATTTGAAACAAGACAGATTCACACTAAGTAAAAAAGGCAGTTTCACCATTCCACTGAAGAACTCAAAGAAAAGCACACACTGATCAAATATAAAAAATTTCCCCGCAATTACAGCTCAAGTGCCCACTTATCATGGGGGGAGATCTGTACAAAAAAACCATAGGGATCAACTTCAGCCTGTCAGGATTCAGCTGTCCATTTATGAAGTATCAATTTTTATCATAAAGCTAATTGCACACTTGCCTGGATCTCATGAGATGAGCTTAGCACCAAAATTTTAGAGTTTAATTTGGACAAACAGAAAGAAAGCTAAAAAGTGCCAAATCTATAAAATGGGAAGTTTTTAAACTTGAGTTTGCTATACATTTCCCCTTCAGTGTCATTTTCACGAAATAAAAAACCCCATCAGTTTAATACACACGTGCAAGGGACTAAGAAGGCGATTAAGAAATGTTTCACTCTCGCACTTTTCTACTTTACACTTCACAAACACTATACGACATGGCAAGACGTAACAAACATTAAGAACTAAGCGTCCAGCTAGATGCCAGGGGAAATTTGAAGGGCTGTCAAGAAAGCCTTATTAAATATTTGGAGAAATTTTTGCACATAGTTTTTGCTTCCCCATTGGTGTCAGTGCACAGCAGAGTTTACTTTCTGCTTGGTGCCCAGGAGCTGTCAGGGGAAACGTCTGTCGTCAGCCTCACCTTCTCAGTGTCACCTAACAAGTCAAGGAGAACTGGTAGAAGAACGTTACAGGGAAGCGTCAAGCTTTGCCACAGAATATTCCTGTTCCTGTAACCAGTGTTCCACTGATAAAGAACTACTTTTCAAACTAAATTATCTCATCTAAACCACAGCAGCATAGTTTAGAGGGACACAGGAAGTTTTCAATCTCGTGTGAGTGAAGCGAGTAACATCACTGGGAGGAAGTCCTAAAGGTTAAAATCTTAGTACTCACTTCTCTGACAAAAATCAATGCACCTCTTAAAAAATAGAGTTTGTATTGTGAAGAAAATCTCATTGGTCCCCTGGTAATAACTCCCTACAGTGAGCAGTGCTGGCTTCCCTCAAGGGGAGTTTAGGCAGAGTGGGAAAGGGCCAACAAGTGTGTTCTGGACACCAGCACCCATTTGTTCACAGCAAGGAAGAAAGGGCTGAGAACTCACGCAAAGTCATTGCTGTCTTCTTGTTCTGCAAGTGTAAGTCACAGATTCAGCGCCCATTTGAGCCAAGGGGCTGAGGGAGTGAGAACATCCCGCTGCCTCCCACACAGTGCACTGGCAGAAAGCAGCTGCCCACCGAGCCCGGCGGCTCCGAGCGTCACCGCACGTGACCCCCGACGAAAGGCATGGCACCAGTTACTCAGTTAATGCGGATCACTACGGAAAAGAGAGTTAATCTGAAAAAGCTTTTGGCTGAAGACTTCCTCAGGAATCAGTTGAGAGAGCTCACCATCAAGCAGGCCTGAAGTTCAAGTTGTCAGATAGGTAGAGGATGATGTGATGTAAAATATATGTGTATAAATAAATATGTATATATTTTATATCACAAAGTATATCTCACACACCTTTCCGATATATACATAATCACAAATATTTTCATACCACAAATTCTACCTATACAGCCTCCCCCGCTCCGTTTTTAAGAATTTGATTTTTTAAGGAATTTTAAAATCAAAACGTATGCAGTGCTGTAAGAAGAAAAACAATACAAAATTTTATCCGATTAAATCCCACCAAGGTTTTTTCCTAGGCATGCTGATCAGACTGCTGCGTGTTTTTTCCTGTAAACTCTTGTGGCTTATCCATGAAGTGCAATCGAAGTTGTCAGGATCACAAAACCCCTCTGACGGGAATTCCACTGTCCGTGCAGCACCAAGTGCAATGAGCCTTTACAGATTTACTCTTCCCAGACCGCCCGCAGCTCTTCCAGTTCTCTCTCGCTTTCTGCATCCTGGAAATGCAGTAAGAGAACACATAAATATACAGCCTAAGTGAAACAATTAAAGAAGAGAACTTCCCTTTTCTTCTCGAACCCCACACCAGAGTTTTAAATATACCCATGTTTTTTCCCCTAATGCCTTTTTCCTCTCCTCTGTACTTCTCTCTCAACACTACTGTCTTTGAAGCCTACAGAAGTTTTCCAAATATCAAAGAGAGTTTCTCTTTTATTTGCTTTTCAGAGACAAGAACTGACAACCACAACAGCAGAATTCAAACCCCTGCTCCCTCACTGACTTACAGAGTCTGGATAAATGCCTCTGCTTTTTTCTTCTTAACATGATGGAAGTTATTTGACTTATGATGAGAACTGACATTTGCAAAGACTTAAAGCCACTTAAGCATCAGCTTCCTTACTCGACTCCCACTTTTAATTTCAGAGCAGGAGAGAGAATTAACTGTTCATGGCTTTTCTGCCTGTAGCTCTCTCCTGGTCTTTCCTGAAAAATCTCAGTGCTTTTCTGATTAAGCTGTTAAGCTTCTAACACATATTTCTTGTTCTTTTCGAAAAAACTGTCTTTATATTTATTAGCCATGCCATTCTAGCTCTGTCTAGAGAGATTTCCAACCAGTGTATGGTGACGAAGCTCTCCATCAGGCACAGCTAGGGTGCTTTCTCTGCCAGAAGGGAACAAATCCTGCTCCCTGCCCTGGATTCCGCAGGTCTGGCTGTGGCCAGTGGCTGGGGGGTTTAGGCAATGCAGGCTGGTGCCCTGCAGGTGGTAGCACACGCAAAGCCAGCTCCGTGCCAGCTGGTCTGCCAAGATCTCTTGCACACTTGGGATTTGAATCTCAGCACAATACTTCAGCTACAGCAACCTAAAAACTAATAATGGCCTTCAAACAGAGTGGCACGAAAACACTGTATTTTATAATTCTGCCTTCCACCCAGAATGTTTGTTTCATCAGACTGAGGCTGAAGCTGTTAAGATCTGGAGGACCTTGCTTAACATTGCTTGTATTTTCACAACCATGCAAATAACATCAGACCCATATTAAAAGCTGATGGCCTTTTATCCAGCTTCTAACTGGCAGTAATTTGAGGGCACCTTCTATAAAATTACTGCTTAACAGGAAAGTGCAGAAGAGCTTCCAGCTGGGGAACGCTGCCACATGGCAGTTTCTAAACCACAGTATAGTCCACCTCCAAAGCTCTGTAAAAGTAATAAAAAAGCTGAAATATCCTAGATATTAAAAAAAAACGCTGGGCAGCACACACAAAATGCTGGGCAGCACACACAAACTTCTGAATGGCTCAGCACCATCAGCTCCAGCCTGTGGGAGCCCAGGAGCTACCCTGGCACCAAGAGTTAGACTTTGGCTGCTCCTCCAGAGCCACACAGGTAATGAGAAGCAGCAGCACAGAGCTCCAGCCCCAGGACAACAACTCGGCTTAAGTGGCTTCACCTGAACTGAGCCAGCCAGCCACACCAGCACCAAACCAAATAAACCTTCCCCCAGAACAGGGTGCTGGGAGGTGCAGTCCTGCAGATCCCCCAGCTCACGGGGCCCAGTGCTGAGCATGTGGCCAGTGTCGGCAGGGGGCTGTAACCTCGCCCTGCAAGTAGTGTGGGAACAGCACTGGGGCCACCTGGAATTCTAAACCCCCATCAGACACTCGCAGCTTCTTATTATTTTTCCTTATTTTGCTGAATTGCTTCAGGCATTTGGATAACAGGTCCCAAGAGAAGAAAAGAGTCCATGCTAAGGAACAAAATACTTTAAAACCTGGGCTTACAAACTGGAACAACTTTTTGAAAACAAATTTATCTCTGGAATAATTTTATTTCCCCTCATCATTGATCGTGCTTACTGAGACTGCTACCTCTTTTGTATTAGCTGGCAGCTCTGAAGCAAGGTTCATCCAGAGAACAGCTGCGGTGTTGTTCCCCATGTCCCTGTAACACTGTGAAGAAAAAGTGACAACGTGAGAAGAGTTAAATGGGGGAAAAACAGGCAGCAAGTGTAACCGAGCAATTATGGACCCTGGCAACTGATAAAAGGAGCTGTTTCTACCATTTGCACACAGGTTTCTGACATTTCCTGCAGTATCCTTCCTTCATAAAGCATTATAATCACCATCAGATTATGGAATACTAGATTTCCTTTTTTCTTTTTATTTTTGGGCAAGGAGATTGGGTTTTTTGGTTGAAGATTTTAAGGTGTCCCTGTGATTTTCACCATTTTTGAAGCTCAAATTTTATTTCCACTTAGCCACTATTCCTCATACCCCTTTAATCACAAAACCTCTGTACTGAGAGCACATCTTACAAAGTTCCCTCGGGTGGTAAACACGAGGTTCACCTGTAATGTCTAATATTCACAAGTCTCTTGGGCCTCAACAGGTGTGAAATACTCTTCATCCTGAATTCTCCTCCAACAGCAGAGCAACAGTCATTCCCCTGTGTAATAGGAAGGGTTTTGGTGCCGAGAATCATGGAGGCATTTGGGGACTACAAAATAAGCATGGTAAAAGGAAGTGGTTGCTAAAAAACCCATCAGCAATGCAGTTAATCATTGCTGAAAGTGCCATAAAAAGCCAACAGTCAGTTAGGATAAGGAGTCAGACTCTGCAGCGTCACCGCACAGCACGTGTGTCTTTTGGGGATTCTCCTGTGTCATAGGATAGTTCTGAAAAACTGCTGCTGTGAGCACTGACAGATTCCTGCATCTGGTCAATTCAAAATAGGTGGAGTCACAGACATCCTCAAAGCCTTTAAAAACCCTGTGTCTCTACACATCAGTCAAAAATGCCAGAAGATGACTATAAAACACAATTCTTTTTTTGAAGTTTGACCCAGAGCACTATTGCCTTCAAAATAATTAGATACCAATTGGACTTTTTAAATTTTGTGATTACGAATGTGATCCAAAGTGATAGAGCCTGGGATTAGAAAGAAAAACCCCAAACCCAAAATCAACAGATACAAATAGTCCTATTAACCTTTCTGCTAACCTGTGTTTGCAGAGTATTTCTGAAGCTCAATCACAGCTGCCAGACACGTGGTGAACTATTAGCCCAATAAAAACGTACCAGTCCATGTAGATTACACACAGTGAAACCCACATATTTACATCAACTCCGAAAATCTATTCAGGTTAAGACTTGGAAGGATCTGCTGCTGCAGCTTCACTGGAAATAAGTTCCAAGTCTTTCATTCTTTACTCTACACAAGACATTTAGGGTGATTTTGAATTTCCATGAATGCTGGCTATGTTTACAGGCAGAGAGAGCAGCAGTTAAGAGCACATTCTTCACCGTACATAAGCCGCCAGAAACAAAAGGTTTGTGCCTACGTAGCTGATTTTACTTAATGGACTTGTGACTAAATACACACAGTGTATTATATGTATCTCTGCAATATATCAGAGATAAAATCCAGCTGGTGTGAAGGCTATTACATGTCTTGATGGGTTTTTCTCCTCTGCTATCACCTTCATTTTCCTTTAATGACATGCTTATTGTGAAATAAATTCTGCACCTAGGTTCCAGGAATAATGTACTCCAGACCAAGCAGACCCTATGACTTGCACGCTACCCTGATAAAATTCACATTCTCTGGGACACTGGGAATTCAGGAATTTCACAGAGAATGACTACAGCTACTCTTTGGTACGCCCACTCTGGCTAGTATTTCTAACGTTATTTGGGCTTTAAATATTTCTAGACTCCAACTGGAGGTTGTAGAAATTAAGCAGCAATTTTAACGTTTGAGAGTTCAAAACCAGTTATTCCCTCAACACAAACAAAAGGATCTTTGGATCTCTAGCTCCAAGCACTCGTGGTGTATTTAATCACCATTCAAGACTCCCATCTGCATTGGTAAAATTAGAGACATCCTTTATCCTTTACTTTTCCTCATGATTCTCTTTCTGTATACACCACAGAAATCCATGGTGGGATTAAACCTCCAGCTTGTGGCTTACAAGTTACCAGTGCTGCTCTATACAGAATTTGATCTCTTAAAACACAAGAAAGATGCTCCAGTGGAAAATTGCCTCCCTGAATTTTAATGCCTCTGCACTAGATAATTTAGCCTTTTTTAGAAATGTTATCATCTTATAAAATCTTGCTTCTGCATGGAGTAATTTACATGTGTTTAGCACTTTACAGCCAAAGATAATTTTTTAATACAAATATTTCTTATCCTAGAAGCATGTGACTGAACTGAAGAAAGCAACAAGTGACTGGTTACCTTGGCAATGTATACTCTGCCTGCTTTGGAAAATCCTGGGCTCAGTTCCTCAACCTACAAAGAACAGAGGGGAGAGAAAGGCAGACATTAGGATATGCAGAGGACACAGTTAATGCTTACACCAGGCTTACTGAATCTCTTAGAAAAGAAAAAAAGATGACTAAACCCTACTTTTGTAAATAGATAGATCAGTATAAGAAGTTTCCTGAGGCTTGGCTGGCTGGGGTTGGGCAAGCCTCCAGATTCTCATGAAGTGCCTGTGACTCACCGAGCAACACTCACCCCCTCACCTAACGGGTGTCAGGGACGAACACGAGGTGGGGATGTCGCACACTCAGAAGCTGAAGGAAACTCTCAGCACCAGGCTGACCACCTCCCCCCACACGTGTGCACACGCTGTTATTAACCTCCTTGCCCATTCAGTCCCTTGGGCGTCTCCCAAATATGCTGGTGCCAAACCTCAGAAATCTTCCCCCAGTTTTTTATCTTCTCCTTCCTGGCTACCAATCCCCAGTCTCTAGTCACTCATGTCCCTCTGCCTTCTTCTGTTCATCTCTCCAGTCATCACTCTCCAAGCAGCTCTGTTCCAGTATGTTCCTGTTAGGAGCCCTTCCCTTAACCCACATCCCACCTGCACTCAAACACCTCCATGGGCTCTACCAAGACACCTGAGCCCAGACCTCAGAGGAAGCAATGACAGACTGTTCCTCCTCTTCATCCTGTTGTTTGGCCTTAGACCCAGCTCAGCTTGTGACTAACCCAGAGCTGTCATGTGCCAGACACTTCCATTTCCCTGAAACACACCAAAAGCAGCTGAAAGCTGAAATGGACCCTGCAGAGCATATGGCAAGTGCACTTGTTCAGGGTATAATTAGCTGCCAGAGGGATGTTTCTGTGTCCTTCTATAATTCTCTCTGTATCTGACCAAAGTTAAACCTCAGAAAAATGCAAGTTACTGTTTCAAACCACAGCACCACTTTAACTTATCAATAAAAGTGACATGCTATTTTTCTCTCTGATGAAAACAAACAAACCACTTTGCCTCAAATTTATCTCTGAAATGATTTAAACACTCTGGCTGAAAAGTATATTACCTAGGGCAGATACCATCACAAACTTCCCTCTCAAACAACTGCATTTTGGCAAAATTACAAGAAATTGAAATAAGTATGATACTCCCTGACACTTTTCAAAACTGCTGGCCCAATCCATGAGTTATAAAGTGGTGGGGCAATTCATTTCTGTAACACTTCATCAGAGGTGCTTAAGAGTAGTTCAGTTCTCACAGGCACAGCTAAAGACAGTCTGTTTAACTCCTTCATCTCCTGCAGACCCTCGCAGCAAGAGCTATATGCTCAAAAATGCAATTCGCCATGTCTTAAATCCATTTTTATCAACAGGAGGACCAAAAAAAACCCTTCCAAGGGTAGGATTCTTACAGCATAGGAAGTACTCCTAAGAACTTCTTTCTAGAAATATATAAGCAATGTGCCGTGAAACCTCACAGCAGTTGTCTTCAAAAGTTTGAAATGCATAAGTCTGACCTAATCAGACAGCCTTTTAATAAAATATTCTGAGAGAAATTAAAATGACAGAATGTATCTACAAAAGCATTCCCAGAGATGAGCTCAAATAGATCTTACAGACCCTGAGAGTACAAATCATACGCATTTAGTATCAACCCATGAATCACTCCACTATGCAGATTTTAAAAGGAAAACCAAACCCCTTCAAAACAATTCTGAACATTTTGGGTCAAGTTCTGACATCTTCAAAATCACGTTCTTTTGTCTGACTATAAGAGAGGCTCCAAATTTTTTGCTTTGACCAGCTTTTCTTCCACAGGTTCCAGTTAGTGGAGATGTATCGTGGAGCACATGGGGAGTGATGAGCTCATGCAGAACACAAGGACTCTGACTCCAGACCTGTGACTGCATTTGCCAGGTTAGCAACCCCCTCGCTTAGCCGATTCCATTACCCGTAAGAAGTTTTGCAGTGCATCCTGGACAGTGGCTGTAGGAGGGGCTTCAAACAAAGCAGCAGCAGTCTTCTTTTCAAGCCATCCCAGGTGGGCAACCTGCAGAGACAGGAAGATGACACTGCCAGACCCACCAGAGACAAAAGCACACAGACAAGAATTATCCCGTTCCTTGTGGCTGGCTCGTGTGCCCGGGAGAAAGCCAAAGGTCTTGGTAGTGTTGGCACATTCAGGACAAATATCTCAGTCCGTCCACAGGATTAAACCCGATTTGCTTTTCCTCTTCCCAAGTCAGCTCCTGCAGCTCTGTACACCAGCTGCCACACGTGTAACACTCCAAGTAAGGTTTGTCTCTACAACCGAGTACTACAGGCATACGACTGCAGGTGGTCCACGGGGCCACGTTGCAGCCACACCAGCTCCCGGCAGCTCCCCCCACGCCTCGGAGCAGGGGCACACGTGGAGCCCTCCCTACTCCCAACTTAACACTCGGACAGGAACGTGTTCTCACCACACAGAGATTCCTGAGAGGGGCAGGCTAAAGCCGTCCTGCCAACAGACAGTCACAGTTTGTGAAACAGGTAGCTACTAGCATCATTTCATGAAATCTTATTCTCCAGCTCCCAGCTCCTCTCTCTCTAATAAGAAACACCCTGAAATGTCAGTGGGGGAAAGGATGCCTTGCACTAACTTCTGATAACATCTGCTTTGTTTAATACTGTATAATTCTCACGATGCAGAATAGCAGAAGCACTTATATATTTCTACATACATCTGGTTTTGTTTCATAGCTCCAGCAGCTCTACGAGCAGTAAGGCTGAGTAGAAAAGTCCACAACAGAATAAAGAGCTAGGAGCTTCCACTAGTTTAGCCGACTGCTCCTCTGTAATTACCAGTGTCAATTATCTCAGCTACAGTCTCTGCAACACGACTTCATTTTTGACAGCAGCAAAGCACTTTCAAATTGTATAAACTGAAAAGTGGCTAGTTACTGCAAACTCTTATTCTTTTTATAGGCACTAAATCTGATTTATGGTATTTGACTCCAAGCTTCTCCCTGTCAAGAAACATAAAGCAGCCGGCACGCTTCTTCTAATACCTCCAACACTGCGTGTAGCAAGGGCAGAGGAAACACATGCAAAGGATTATACAGATAGACTGTGTGCAGAAGCTCCTGCCAGCCCCAAAATGCCCTTGATCACATCCATATGTGCTTAAAGAACTGAAGATAGTTTGCTTTTACTGAGTAAAGCACGGGGAACAGCAGGCTAGTTTGCAGCCAGTGCTTTTCCTAATCTAGTCTTTGCCGTTTCACCTCCCATGCTGCCTGCAGTGACTGAAAAACTACATCCAGAGCCCTGAGCCCTTCAGAACTCCAATTCAGAGCAGTTCAGAAATAACACTTCTAGCAAACAGCTTCCCTCTGGGAAAGAGACAAAAACCAGGAAAAATGAAGAGCAGAACAGTGGCAATAAATAAATAAAATGGCAAAAACCCCAGCAGCCTTTATTCTATTGCAGAAAGGTACACCAAGCACTTCTAAAGGTTGATTCAGGGACTAAAGAATTAAAACAGCAGATGACATTGCCAATACGAAACCACACTCTACATGCTTCTAAGAACTTCAGCATGTCTTCAGTACCAACTTTTCTCTACCTTCTTCTGGTGTCCAACGGGTCGGCACAGAGCCATGCGCTGGAAACCAGCTCAGCCAGCACTTGTGATCACCAGCTCAGTGCTTCTGCAGTCCCCCTCTCGCTATAGGGGACCTAAACTGACATAAACTCTTAGTAAAAAAAAATGTACCACCATAGTGCTTCAAGCGGTAACACCAGGACAAAGGCACACAGTTAAGGTTTCACAGGAGGAAGAAAAGAGGGAGATGGGCTGCCTAAGACTTCTCCATTACAGTTCAGAAAACAATTCAGGTGGAAAGCTGAGAGATGCTGAACGAGATGCTGTGCCCTGGCAGACATTTTGAGAGCACTTTTATAAAAGCACTGAGGTGCTACATGCACAAGAACATCAGCTTTTACATCCTAAAAGGTTTCTGAATGAAAGGCATTTATAGTATTCGTCAGTGGAGTGTTGTTCTCAGCACTGTTTCAGGACTGAAATGAGGAGTTTCTAGATCTCACAAAGTACAACTTTTATACTACTTCTTCAAGCAAGGAGAACATTTCCATACTAGCACCTTCTGACACAATACCTGCGTTTGGCAACTAAAGAGAGTCCTCAGGCCTTTTGGCTGGTGGTTTCAATCCACCCATCTTTTATTTAAACAGGGGATTAAATTCCAAGAAGAAAGAAAACAGCAATAAGCAGTAATAAACTATTTTACCTGGTAACACCATCTGCCCAGAAGATAGTAAGACTTTGGATCCTCTGGTTTCAGTTCAATCGCTTTATCAATGTGTTCCTGTGGAAAAGCATCACCAACACACACTATATTTTTGTTATAAGCAAATACAATATCCACAAGAGTGGGTGAACAAATGCAGAAAGAGGAAAGGAAGAAGTCCAGAATTTAAGGGTCAGTGATCAACAAAATTACAGCTACAAGATTCCAAATTTTCTTAAAATAGTTCCAGTACACACAGAAACCCAGAATTTTATTAGTCTCAGAGACAAGAATTACTAAACACAAAAAAAATGAAGTTGCCCTTCATTTTATTCTACCACCTTTTCAGAGCTTTGACATAATGATGGCCATATCAATAGCTGATGAGGTAATAATTATACATGGCCTGTCCTGTAGTAACTGTTCCAGCTGTACCTTCTTACCCTGTAACATCCCTGCTGTGGATGAAAGGCAAATAAAGGCATCAGAGGCAGATTAAAATCTCTTTGATAAATGTTTTGTGTTTATGGGCAGGTGCAAGCATGCTCCCAGGCAGTTACTGAAGAGTTGTGCTGTATCTTACTACCACATGGTTATTTCACATTTCAAGCTCTCAGTCTCATCACATACGCATGCGTTATTTGCAAGACTTTTCTTTTTTCTGAGATCACAGCGTGCAAAAGTGTGGAGCCAGAGCAGCCACCCTTGCCACATGTGGCTGGAATCACCTTCCTCGGCTCAAATCATCCCCTCAGAACACCTTTGAGAACTACTGCTTCCCCAATAAAAGCTGAAGCCAATTTCCCCAACTTACTACTATAGGAATAAGCATCGTTCAGTACTTACACAAAAACCAGCACGTCCTTTCTACTCACCTTAAAAACATATCCAGCTTGAATGCGCTTCTGAATACTCTCATGTTCCGCTAACTGCCCACAAAGAACAGCGAACCTACACGGAGGAGACACTGGCATCAAGTCTGTTGTAAATACACACATTCTGCTGACATCTTCAGAAGAAGGTATATAGGTGCATTAAAGCTTCACAACTTCCTAAGGAAAACAATACCCTACATCTTTTACAGGGAACAGTCATATGCAGTAAAAATTTAGTGCAGAAAGTACAAGCTTGAAGGATGCTGGCAAGTCAACAGGAGTGGCTTGATGTGACATAGAAGTTCATTGCACTGATGGCTGGGAGCCCTTCTGCTGCATAAACACTTCTACACCCTGAATTTCTTCATTCAGCAACAAAATCATGTCAAAACACAGCAATGAGGAGTAACCGCTGCTGCGGTGAGAGCCAGAGGTACAAAAAGCTCTCATTAACTACTGTGTGCAGCAATCTTCCATACACAACACCCTAGCACAGCGGTTGTCTACTTTGAGGGAAAATACTGTGAAAACCTACCTACATCCTGCAGCCCAACACAGCCACCAAACTTGGGAAACAAAATAACGTATTTAGAGTGTTCCAAGTGCAAAGCCATTTAGTTTTGTCTAGTAAGAGATCATAAGTTTTGACCCTGAGAAGCACAGTACCTCGCAAAATCAGTTATTTCATGGGCTGTGAAAGTTAAGGAAGGTTAATTACCCATAGATTCACACCCTCCCATCTCATCTTCCCGCACCACAGTGGTTCAAAACCTCTTCCTCCCTGCACTGTTTCCCAAGAAATAATGAACGTAGAGGTGTGCAAGGGCACCACCACTGAACAGAACACGCGAGCTGAACTTTCAGCCGTGCTGATTCCATCTTTGACCTCTGCCATCCTGCTTCAGAGAGCTGTGGGAATGGAAGAGGCTTCCCCCCTTCCTCTGAGTTTGGCTCAAAAAATATTAGGTAGAATGGATGGACAAGTGAATTACACAGTTTTCCTTCTTTCAATAAAACAAAGCTGAAAAGAAGAAGGATGGAAGTAAACCTCCCTTGATATTTCTTTTATTACACCCACATCCCCTCATTGCTGGATACTCTGCCTCATCTTGCCACAGAACATCCCAACTTGTCCCTGGTGATGGCTAACCACAACAGATGTTCGTGCAGGAATTTGCCAGAAGACTCTTGAATCTCCAAGCACGCTTTCTCCAGTGTCATGAAAAAACCCACAAAACATTTCACACCTCATTGCTCTTGCCTGAACTAAGTTTTCAATGTATATGTTATGATACAAAGAAGTTGTGTCTCCTCAGTATTTTGTCATTAAATCTCATTCCTTTAACATGTTAATTTTCTTGTGAAAAAACTCTGGTTCGAGTTCTAAAATTCTTATTTTTCATTACAATGGAAAAGATTACCAGATCAACGTCTTAACTGGGTAAAATCCTTTTCCCCCCAGTTGAAAAGCTCACAGGGGCACTGCCATAATCTGTCACTTGCAAAGGATGGAAGTGAGTGTTTTCATGACCTTCTCCAGTTTGTTTCACAACAAATATCAGCCTGTGCTAAATATCCCTAAGCACAACATGAGGAGGGTTTAGACAAACAAGCCAATAAAAGGCTTATTTTCTAAGATCACAAGATAAAATATTCCCATACAATAAATCATGTAGTCTGTAGCCCTGACTAATGTACAAGAATTTGCCAGAATGTAGCTCTTAAAACCAGACTGTTTAGGCTCCCGAATAACGTGGGCAGGCATTAAATACAATTAGGTCAAGTTTAAGGTTTTGCAATAAAAAAAGGGAAACACTGTGCCTTTCTAAAATGGAAGTGTAACCTCCCTTTATACTAGCCTGCTCTTCCCAAGGGAAAGCCCAACAAGCCCCTTCAAAGCAGCAATAAATCCAATGGGACACTAAGCTAGTTCAGCCTGACCCCTCTACCAACAACCATATAAACGTCAAGTGGTACCATATGCAGCTGTCAAGAAACATAAATACCATGTATTTTTTAACAGCCTGGTGGATGTTACAAAAAAACAAGAGCAGTAAATCATAGTCCTATCTTTGTGTCACAAACTCAACTCAAAAAAAAAAAAAAAGAGATGCCTGAACTGTTTTTCCCTGCAGTCCCAGGGAAGGACGACTCTACCCAAACCAGCTTTGCTGGTCTCAGCCCTTTGCATGAACCTTCCTTATCAACTTGTGCCTTGAGGCCCAGGGCCACCGTTCTGTCGGCAATTTTCATATATCTATGAGACTTTGCAGTTCTGAGATTTTAGACTCTGGGCCGACTTCCCTTCCTCACTCGGCAGCGCCAGCATGGTTTGCTGCTTTTATCTCTCCTGCTTGTTTAGTTTGGCTTGTTGGAGCTATTTATTCTAGTTCATTCTGTGAAATGCCTCGGGATGAATGTCACAAGAGGCATGGTTGGGTTGCAGGACTGACGAGCAGTAATAGGAGAGATTAAAAACAATGAGTTAGGGAAGGGGATTTTCATCTTCTGTAAACAGTATGTAACCTCTGAAGCACTGCTCAGATCGATGTCTCAGCAGTTACCGAAACCTATTATGGTATCGCTCAACTAATTATTAACCAGAACTACTCATGAAGCTGCTGACACTGGTCAAACTGCAACTTCCCATAGGAATCTCAGCTCAGTAAGGATTTCCCCATTTATTAGAAAATAAACTCTGTGGAAGCAGATACTACCAGATGAGAGACCATCTGTTCTTCCAGCTTAAATCCCTGAGCTCAGAACATGCAGCTTTGAAGAAACTTCAGTTTTGATGCTGCACTCTGGCTGACTCCCATCGAAGCAGGACTTCTGGCCTCCGAACACAGAATCCACAGCTCTGTGCGGCCCAGCACCCCCAGCGCCATGGCCAGGGTGCTTTGCCAACCCAAATACAGCTCTTATCTCTCTTCAACAGTTTCAAAGACTCGCCAGCTGAGCATGCCAGTGCTCCTCTCTGCAGAAGACAATCAGTAAATTAAAAAGAAACAGTGAGGTAAAGGGGAATAAAAGGAGAAGGGAAAGTGGGTAGAAGCAGCTATTTTGCAGCCAACTGATAAAAGAGAAATAGTGTGTTTTATATTGCCGAAGAGGAGTCAAACATGAGAGTCTGGCCACTGGCAACAGCACGACAACGTGGAAGTTCTTTCCTTTTGTTGACATAAAAATTTGCTTCATATGTATTTAACTAATTTTTCATCACAACACTCAACACATTAATGAGCTAGAATATATTCCTGTTCAAGCCACATTACATGTGAACTGAACGCATCCAGGCCAGCCTGTAAAAATCGTTCAGTGCCATTCAAGCAGCACTGCTAGTACAACTAGAGAGAGGGTTTATCACACAAGGAGCTCAACTTTCAGTTACTGGAGTCAGATAAAAGCTAGAAGAATAAAACCCTTTTTAATCAAGTAATTTTGAGAAACAGATCTCCAAAATCTACATCTTGATAAAGAATTTAGAATTTTTCCCAATATTTTATGAGTATTACCAGTTTTTCCTCTTTCTGTGCATTGAGAGGGTATATCTTAGTCTCTTCACCCAAGTAAGAGAAGGAGACAGCTAATTAGCATGCATATATTTAGGCTGCAATGAAACACACCAAAAATGAAAACAATCATTAAGGAGTTAGCACCTTGGGAGAGACAACAGAATTCCCCGCGACTTAACCTGAAATTAATGACTGGCTAGTCATAAAGAGCTTGGAATAAAGCTTTGGTTTTTCCAAGGGGAGACAAGATCGAGGTAAGAACTGAGGAAGGCAGAAGTGCTCCTCCAGGCTGCGCTGCACAGAGGCCTCAGCAAGGAGGTCAGGGGGTAAATTCACAACACATCAGTTGAGCTGAAACCATCCCCCATCTGGATACGCTTCACAGCACCACACTCCAGTTGCACAACCAGAAGATGCCCCCTCCTTACAGGTCATCAACACCCACGTGGGAGAGTTGCTATATTCTCTACATCCAGCCTAGCTTCTGCATTAACTTCCCAGCACACGTGAGCCCTTTGCCCCACCAGCACCAGCAGCCTAGGGCTGTGTGCCCACTGAGTATTAATAAATGTTGGTTTATTTGTAGAAAGTCCTGTCGTTGCTGTGTTCGCTGCTGGTCACACGTCTTCTCAGATAAAGGCAGGAATTCATCAAGAGCTTTGCCGGCTTGACATGGGAGATAAAGCCCATTTGAGGCCTAAAGCCAAGATTTATGCAGAGATAGCAAATCTGTATGTACCAGCTAGCTGAAAAGGGTACTTGATGATGATGGCATGTATGCGAGAAATTGAAGCACAATAAATCATGTTCTGGATTAAAGCAACATTAACTTTCTACTGTCAGTGTCTCAAATTTCCATGGGGATTAAAATTTTATACATCTATTTTCATGCTAAGGGATCACATCAAAAACTGAAGTGATGAACAGTGGCTTCATCCCTGTTCTGACTCACAGAAATACTCACAGTTGCTCTTAAATGCTAAAAAAAAAAATAAAAAAATCAAGGATGTCCACAGGAACACTTTTCAGGATGCTTTCCACCAGTGCTTTAATAATGTTTCATTTAATAACTTTTGAAAATTGGCCACTGCCCAAGGTTTTGCAACATCAGATGTTTTAGCCTTTGAATGATGCACACAGGTCACCATATTCATGTTATTTACAACTCCCCACACAGTTAATAGTAAAGATGAAGTCCTCTTTCCATGCCTGTGTAATTACACAGCTTTGTTGTACAGGGTTTGCTGTCTGTGCTAAGCAATGCTTCATCCACCCTACAGAGCAGGAGTAGATCTGGTCTCACATTGTAATTAAAGCTTCAAGAGCCCACAGGGCATCTGTGCTACAGGTATTACATGGAAAAGGCATCAACAGAAATATTGTAGAAGGCAGCTCTTGGTTTTGCCTGGGATCCCTCCATCCAAGATCCCTGAACATCAAATCCACACAGCTTGTTTGAACTGTCCATTATTAACATGAGGAGTTATTATAAAGAAACGAAACCTGCCATACTTAGTAAAACATTATTTTTCCTGGCAAACCGTTTGATGAAGCCTGAAAA